TTTAAAAAAAAAAAAAAAAATGAAAAAAACAAACCCAAAAGACTCTCCATCTTTGTTTGGTAATTTTCAGTGACAAGTGATCTTTACATTTGCAATGTGGTTGATTTGTTACCATAACCTGTTGAAGGACATGAATCTGTAATCTCCCTTCCAAAGTTGATCTAGCCAAGATGCTTGGGGTTCTCATGTTATCTTGCCTGGTTCAAAGTTGAATTCTTGACTTTACTATTTAAGCAGAATACTGCAAAGCTGGTAGGGCCTGAGATTAGATCTAACAACTCTCTTTCCTCATCTGTCTGTTTGTGAGCAAAGGGTGTACTAGATGGTACCAGAAAGCTGCTGTTACGAGGTGGTTGATACTTTGCATCCCTTCTCACAGGAATGGGTAGTCTGAATTGTGGTCCAAAAATGCACCACCTTTTGTTGGCAGTCACAAACACGGTATTTTTCATACGGTGGTAGTGTCAGCTTAGCCTTGATCTCATCTCTCTCTTACCTTGTTTAAGAAATATTATTATGTAAGAAAGAAAGAAAAAACGCCGCATCTCACATTTCTTCTTGCTCTAGAACAACTCGGAAACCAGAGTATTAGGGGTGCTCTCAGCCATCTTTACTAACTACACTTTGGAAAAAAAAAATTAAAAAAAACCAACTTACACAGCACTATGACAGACTCTATCACCAGCCAAGAACAAACTATGGCAATACACTACCATGGCATTATTTACAACACAATGGAACATTATGCATATAATAAATTACATTTAATACTTTTCCTCTTAAACTCTTGATATATGTAAGCTCATGCTTTGTAAATTTCATTTATTTTGTTCAGTCCAATATATTTTCCTCTATGTATTTTAACTGAATAGGCAAGTATAGGAGATGACAATGGTGTTTGCCTATCTTTTCTATGGTTTTAGAAGCCAAATTGCTTTCCAAATTCGTGATACATCACAGTATGCTACTGTCCTCACTGCCATTTATTTTATAGTACATACCTTTCCACAGCAGAAGCAGTAAGGGATTGTCAACTAGGCCTGTGCTTATATTGACATTAAGTCTCAGTAAGAACTCTTGTGAGCTGCTTTTAAGTTGATGAGGGCAAAAAAGGGAGTGGAAATTGTGTAGCACTGCACAATTTGGGAAGCCTGACAATGCTCCTGATGGCACACTTCTGTTTGTTCCCACTAAACTTCACAGAGAAATTTGCAGAGGAAGGAGCCAGGAGCTTCTTCCTGAAGCTGACAAAGGCTAAGGTTGGGGTTCACAGGGGTAGATGAAAACTAAGGGTCCCTTGTTGCTCTGCAGGACAGCAAGTTTGCCCGCTGTATTTATTTAGGGGCTGTGCAGAGGTTCCAAATTGCTATGCAGAAGGCAAGCTTTGCTATGTTTATTAGAGGAGGGCTTGTTTGTTTGTGGTTTTTGATTTGTTTTTTTTTTTTTTAAAACATTAAGTCAATTTACAGCTACTTTGTGTGGCCTCTGTACCATAGTGGATAAGATTCATCTCCGTGCAAAAGGCTTTGCTCTCCTGCTTACGAGGAGCAGCCTGGCCTCTAGGAACAGAAGAGTCCCATGAAAGACAGTTCTTTGTGGGCCCAGGTGCCAGAGGAGCTTTGTGTCCCAGAGAGCTGCACAAATACCCCAAGGAATCAAAAGGAAGCAAGAGTATCCAAAGTGGTCCCCTGGGGTCTCTGTGCTACTCTTCAGGCCCTTGGGTTCTCCCTGGACAGTCAGCAACACAGTTTCTGCAAGGACCATAGTACTAAAGGCTGACTCCCTCCTAAAGAAAGGTTTTGGAGGGGAAAAAAACGGGCATAAGAGATGCTGTAGATGAAGAACTTGCGAACTGCTGGGTTTATAACTAGACAGACCTCAGGGGAGTTACCTGCAGAGAAGCCAACTACCACTGACATCTGGATGCTCTGCATAAAAATTCATGTGTTGAGTAGTTTCCTAGCATAATTCTAACTACTTAAGCATTATTTCCATTAATCAAACTACCACAATGTATCCAGCTGAAGTCTACACTCTATTGGGGTAATTGGTTTATTTCTATGGGCCGTGCCAAACCCAAATCCTTGAATGTGTACACAACCAACACATACAATCACTTTGTTCAGTTTTTGACTTAGGCTAAATTAGTCTTACTAATGCAGGTTACCTATTTCTAACTGTATTCCTTTTATTATTTTTTATTTTCTGCTAGGTTAAAAGCAGACTGTCATGGTAGCTAGTCTGTACCGTACTTTTATGAATGTTAGAATGTGTAGAGGATAACAAACGAGCTTCCCTACAGCTCTGAAGCATGTCCGTACCTACTGTCCATGTTTCCATTAGAAATTAGTAACCTGTACCACTCACTGTGTTCTCCCTAGGGTGTAACACACCGGGATCCAACACCAAAGCAACTATGAAAACCAAAATCAAGTACTGCAAACACTTCTAAAATCCATTCGGAATTAATTTTAAACATCTGGCAATGATTGAAGATTGGAAAGATGCAAATTCATTCGAGTTTCCTTCACAGAAGTTGGGAGTAAAGACGAAGGTTCAGTCCCAAAACAAACAACGCCCTTTTGTTTTTAATACAAGTGAAAGTGGAGTGCCTTCCATATTAAAATTATCACGGGATGTTTCCCATTATAAAAAAACTATGTGCAACTTATATACAGTATTCCCATACATTGCTCTGACTGGCAATACTCAAAGCCAATGCTATGATCACAGCTGTTAGGTTTGTAGAAGAGCACACTCAAGAGGAAATTCAGGGTCCAATAGCATTCTAGCTGAGGTAGGTTAAAACAGACCCGCTAATTAGAAAATCCTGCACGAGTTCATACGGTATTAAATGAAACCGAAAATTCTGACACAGTCGGTCTCCGCTATTCTTTAAGAAACCGAGATGAGCATAGCACAGTTACTCCAATGTCTACAAGTTTACTAATACAATCCATTCCAGACTTTGAAGAAAGTACCGCTGCTTTCCCACTCAAAAGCTTATATTATTTTTTCCCATCGTTGGTTTTGTTTCCTATTTCAGTCTTGACATCACTGAAGGCGCACTGCTGTTCTGCAGGAGAGGTGGGCTACAGGGTGCTCGGTTGGTTACAGGCAGCGTGACGGCAGACTGCTTTTTGTCTGTGCAATAGCCCGGGACTGTTTCATTCTGGGCTGCCTCCCCTCCCCACAGCGGCTGTGAGGTGGGACGACCCCAGGGAGGATCCTGACTGCTCTGCCACAGGGTAGCCTTGCCGTCGCTCAGCACTACCTGAGTGATGTGCTCCGGCCAGAGACCAGAAGCGGACCTGCAGCAGGATGCCGAAGGCAGGCCTGCGCTGTTTGTCCTGTGGCTGTGGTTTAATGCAAGGCGGTAAGCTGGATTTTGGTTAAAATATTTGTTTTCAGGTTTAATAACTACATGTCTGATAACAATATGCGTGTGCGTATATGTATGCTTGGAGAGGAAAATTTGTATAAGCAGCAGGATTTTTAAAAAAGGAGATAGTACATTGATGGGATTTAAGAGTTTATGCTTTTCTTGTTTGATAGCACCACACTTATGTAGGATTAGAGTGACGGAGTCCAAGATGTCATGGGCTCACATAGTCTGCTGCATCTTGTCCTTAGGCATTGCCACTATACACACATACTTGCATACGTTAACTGGGTTCAGAGGAAAAGAAGCACACGCACAAATCAGTGTGTTTTCTGACAACAGCACACAGGTGACGGTGCCACAGCTGTGGGAAAAGTTCCCTGTCAGTCAGAGTCCACTTGTCACAGGCAGCACCTAGAACGGCTACTTGTTTTCATGGGAGAAGCCAGACACAGGTGAGTCTTGCAAAAGATTCATGTCTCGATCCAGAAAAATTCTTAGGGACAGATTTCACATTAATGTCATGAATCTCTCTCATTCAAGTGCTTCATTAGGTTCAAGACATTAATTAGATCATACTGATCTAATAGAAAATTAAGGCTTCTGATCTGAAAGCTACATTGGAACTACAGCTGCCGAGGGCTTAACAGGATCAAGGCTGGAAAGCAGCACTTCTCTACATGGGATACTTTGCATGCGCCATATTTAAATAAAACTCTCGTCAATTCAGTTCAAAGGGATCTCCCCTGCACTGTTTTTCAACAGTTGTGCTGATAATGACAAGTCAGATCTTCTGCATGTGATACTCCACAATCACATCTAAGTAACAAACACTAAAATGTATCAAGGATATTTTTCTCTCTACTTTTCATATCTGAATTCTGCATGTGTCATGGTATTAGATAAGATAAGCACGACTATTACATGGCAGTTTTTGGAAACCAATCTTGTTCTTGTTGAAGATAACGAGATGGAAGTTCTGCCACTGAATTCTAGGGGAACGTTATCCCATGGCTTACTGCAGCCTAGAGCCAGAAGGAATAATTAATGGTCATTTCAGCCCCTGAATGTAATGGACAATCAGGAATTCTTGAGCACACAGCCTTCACTTCAGCTGTCAAAACATGTGCTTTCTTGATTTAAGGACTTCGGGCGGCAAGGGAATCCAGGTCACCTACTGGTAAATTGCTCCGCTCCAACAGCTGTTGTCCCTCAGTCTTAGTCTCACCCATTTTTTTCCAGGATCCCTGATATCTTTAAGCACAAATCCAACTATGAGAGAGAAAATGCACTCATTTAACCTTTTGCTTTATAAATGTACGTGTGTGTGTGTGTGTGTGTGCGCGCGCGCAGATGCGTGTACATATGTATGCAATGTAGTGTAGATATGTTCAGGTACCCATCTGCAATCAAGTGCCAGTTCAGTGGGTATGCTTGCTATGGCTGTTAAATTAAAAATGGAGTGGGCTAGCTGTAACCAGCAGATTATTCAGTGAGCGACATGCTGAACAATGTTTTAAGTCAGGGAAGAGAATGCTTTTTTACTGACTTACTGAAAAGTGCCAAATCACACTGAGTAAGCTTACAGAATCCAGCACAAGATTGGGCAGGGGCTTCATTAGTTGTTGGGCAACTTGGGCTGTTTTACACATTGTGGCACCTCCAGTCCCGTATGCAGGGTCACCTGCACAAAGAAGAAATAACATGTAGATTCAAAACTGGGACATCCTCAGCAGAAAGCATTCATGAAGATCAAGAGCAAGTAAATAACAGGGGAAGGGCTGTGGGACTTCAGGTCCAGGTTTAAAAGTCATCAAGAATATTATTGAACCCCTGAAATAAACAAGTCTCCTTTCCCCCCTGAACACAGCTAGAAGCCAGGTGTCCATGTCTCTTCTCAAATCCAGCCACCAGTTGTAGGTCTCCAGCAGTGCTGCTTCCTAGATGGTGGATGGCATCTTTGTGTGAGGGACCCCGAGCACTTCAGGACAGGAATCACACGGTGGAGACCATGTACTAAATGTAAGAAAATCCTTTTATCTTTGCTGTCCTGGAAGGACAGAGCACAGGACATTTTAGTGCTCCTTCTACAACCTGACTTCTCTACAAGGTCAGGGTTCCCACACAGTCGTATCAGAGCACCATTCAACAGCAAACACAAGTTTAATCTCAGAGTTTCCCCCTGCCCCTTGTCAGCCACACACTGCCTTAACTCAGCTGTGGTAAGAAAAGTCAGCCAGCTACTTAAAGGATGTAAGTAGCGGAAACTGAAGGTAGGTTGAGAGTAAAAATCTGTGTTGAATATAGCAGTGAGGTGCCCAGAGAAGTACCTGGGTCTTCTATGTTGGTGCATCAAATACAACAAAGCTATGAAACCTTCTTGAAAGATTTGGATGCCACCAGTAACGAATGCTAAACGTTCATATGCTATTAAGGCCATGCAAGGCTTCTGGTTTCAGTTTCGGTATTTTAAATGATGAGTATTCCACCCTGGCTGCATTGGTCCTGCCTGACCTAAGCTGACCTCCTTCAGTCCTCAGGATCCTGGGTGTTTCCACAGGTTCTCCCTTACACTACATCCTGTTTCTTGCCGTATGAAGTGGTCTTTAAGTAAAAATACATTCCGTTTAAAGAGGGTTCCTCCAAGAGGAGATCTGCTTGAGAACAGAGAGCAATCTCCAAAATTCAGAAAGAGCAAGAATGATAATAGTCTTCAAACATAAGATCTAAGAGGAATTAGGATGCTCATGGGTTTTTTTTAGTCAAACTGGCAGAGGAAGCCTTAGCACCGCTGCTTTCCAAGTGGAGCACTGCAGCAAAGTAAGTGTAGGAATTAGTGTGGGAGGGCACTTTTACTTGTTTTTACAGCATCACATCAGGAGGCAAAGCAGAAGGTCAAATGCAGTTTTCCAAAAAGAGTAAGTAGCTTAGGTGCCTGAGAAGGAAAGAGCCCCTATCCATACTGGCTATCCAGAGATGATGTTATCAGCCCCAGCAGCGATGGTCGGTAGCATACATTCTCCTTTAGATGGGAAGGGTAAGTGGGACTGAACTGCAGAAGACTTACCTGGACGTTTCGATTGAGGCTCAATGCAGGCATGAAGACACCCTCAATGTTTTCAAATGCTGGAGGCCCCTGCTGCTGCCCATTTATGTAAAAGGTCAGGTTGTGCTTGTTCAGGTCCAGGAGAACACCAACGGTGGCACCTTTGGAAACTCCTCCTTCAGTCCTAAGGTACAAAGGGATCACACTGTTGGTGAAGGCAGAGTGCTACACCTGCCACTGCTCTCTCTAGGACAAGGCAGTCCTACTAAGAAAAGGGAGAATGGAGCAGCACGGTGAAATGATTGTCCCCACGGCATTTGGCAATGACTGACCCACACTTTTATCTGAAGCATATGTACCACATTCACGGGAGCTTAATGGGGGGATCCTAAAGAGAAATCAGGTCCATCTCTTCTCCAGCTGCAATCTAAGAGCTGAAAACGGGGTCCAGAGCTAACAGGTCCCCTCAGCTGATGAGAGTCAGGGAGGTGAGCAGGTCATACTGAAGTGATTCACAGGCAGCAATGAAAAAGCAGAAAGCTGGTTTCCTAGCCGTTCATTTCTCATCATTATGCCTGCTAACGTCTTGAGACTTAGACTTCCAGTTTGAGTACTCACCTTGGCATCTCCTAAGGAGACTCAGCTTGCCAGAGACCAGGGAGCCAGCACAGGTACAACAGGGAGTGGTTTTGGGGAGGAAGGGAAGGTGAGGCTGGTTAGGGATAAGCGTAGCTCCCTGACTTGACAAGGTGCTCAGCTACAGGACTGGGAGCTGTTTCAAGTGTGCAGGCACGGTTATTAATACCAGTGATAATTGGTTGTGTCAGGAGCAGCTGTTGAGAGCTACCATGGTATCAGCGCCTGCCAGGACAGACTCAGCTAGCCATTACACGCTCGAGTGACTTGACATTAATGCACTTTGATTTGGGGGTTAGTCAAACCCAGTATTACTTTAAAGAGCACTGAGCAAAAAAATCTACTAGATATGCAGATTGGCCACAGGCACCGCTACTCTGCAAATATCCTGGGGGCTCTGCAATGGATTTACAGCCTGACACAATTTGTTCAGGGTAAATCAGATTTCAAATAATTTGCAGTAGAAAAGGAAGCAGCTGTCTTTTGTCCCACGCACTCCCCTCAGGCACACACATTCACATGATTAATGCAATTTTAACATAACATTTATCGCAATAGGTAGGCAAAACCTCCAAAAAAAGGGCGGTATGTGTCAAAATATCATTAGGAAGAATATCGTGCAGGGTAAGAAATTTTCATCTTGTCCACTAGATGTCATAAACTGGTTTCCTTTAGACTAAATGTGGCACGTGGCATCTCCTCTGAAGGTAAAGGGAGTTTTATCTGTGGCATAATAGTATAGAATACTACTCTGACTTCTCCATTTAAAGCTCTTCAAACAATAATAGTATAGCTGAGAATCACGAATTGGCTCTGAGATGTGTTAGATTTCAAACTTTACTTTCTCAGGTTCCTTTTATCTGCTTTGTGATCCTGTAAGCATTCATAGGTTTCTCTTTGAGCTCTTCTTCAAAACCATAATGTAAACTATTTTCCAGCAAAAGTTAAGATGCTTACCTGTCCTCAGTATCTCAGTATCTAGACTATTTTTATTAAAAGCATTCAATCATAAAACTCATTATGAGATTGTGGGAAGCAACAGTACTATGATCTAGAGCTATTTGCAAATGGATTACATCTTTTTTTTTTCTCTGTTTAGGAACAGCTTTGATTGTGGGGCACCATGCTTTATATCCTGCAGTGTTTTAAAATAGATTTTATGACATCCTTTTAAATGACATTGATTCTCTTAGGGAAACAGAAACAGCAACTTTGCCTTTTTGAGATTATTATGCTCTTTTCTATATGACAAGCTAATTTGCTTCTTGGGGGCTAATTAGCTATGTGCCACACAGTGACATTGAGTGACTCCTCTGCAGCCCCTGGGGACAGCCCTGCTGAAGAGGAGATAGATGGTGCCTGCAGAACCCAGCCGAGGAGAGTGCAGGACCCAGCAGCTGAGGCCCCTCCAGGAGGGGCACAGGGGCAGCGTAGAGGGATGAGGACCTTCTCCCTTCCTTGCTGACACACGTTGTGCAGGACTTCAGCAGGTAGATTGCCGTGTTCTTTGGCCCCCACCTCCCCACAGTGAGCAACCAACTCTGGCAGGACAAAGCCAGGGCAAAGGCAAGCAGGGGCACTTTGCTGTGCTGCTGCCAGGGAGGCTGGAATTTCTCTGAGGCTGAACAGCTGCTCTTCCCAAGCAACCCATGGTTTCCTGAAGAACATTACTTTGAGGACTCCAGTGCTCCTTGAAATACTGTCATTGTCGCTTCCTTTAGGAGGAGAGGTGAGAGAATCAAAGTTTCATGAGCAAACTTATGCAAGGCATTTCCTCACTCTTCTGTACATCATTTAGACAGTCTTACAGGATAACTTTTGTAATAAATGCCTCAGTTGCAATAAAAGAAGCCAGCTAGCTCAAGAGGCTCAAAATGATGTTGCTCTCTCCTGGTTTACTTCTGTGACAGCATGTAAAAAAGCTGCTGCTTTACTGTAATGAATTTTTTTAAACTACTTAATGACAGTTATACCATAGGTCCCTAGTAATCTGCAGGCCATGTAAAAGGAAAATACAACCGCTTGTTACAATGCTTCTTCAATAAAGACTTAACATTCATTATCATTTAACGATAATCCAGATTTGAAGATATGCACCACTCTTTCATCATTTCAGGTAAATCCCACTTCTTACACCTGTTTTCTCACAGTCCTACACATTTTTATTTCTGTGTGCAATGATAAGTCCTGAGTGTGGAAGTGCTGTGCAGAAGCCTGAAATGTCAGAGTATAGACAGGGGAATTTGGCTACCATGAAAAATGCCATTGCCTGTGGCAGTGGAGGCTGTTAATCTCAGATGCTTTCAGCAGCAACTTGGACAATATACAGAATGGGTCTGCCTGGATTGGCTTGAGGTATTAAGAACAGTGATAAGTTTCACTATTATTGAAAAATGGAGCTTAACAATTTATGAACACTTTAATAAATTGAAGAATTAGTTTAACCCTCCATTAACAGTATTTTAATCACGAGCTTTACAGCAACTTTACAACTTTACCATGTCTATTGTCAAGGACAGTATTTTTCAGTCAATTATAACATTTTTGTGTGATGAAAACCTGGTCTTGACATCTCTGAAGTCAGTGAAGTGACTCTACTGGTTGCAGGGGCTTTAGGACTACACTCCAAATTCTCTAGATTTTGACTTCCCACTGTCTTTCAGTATAAAATATTTCAGTGTGTTTTCTGTCTTTCTTTACATAAACATGTAGTGTCTAGAGCATCGCCTGTAGCACCAGGCGCTCCTGCTCTTGGGAACTTTGCCAAGGAATGGATCTATTGCAATGAATGCCAGTGCCTCTTAGCAATGGGCATACATCATCTCTGGTGTGAACCGATTACTTCCAGGAACAAAGAGGCTGAAAGGTACCTCACAAAGACGTATCCCTGCCCTAAGGCGTTTTCTTAAACAGTTTGCTCAACCTATTCTCAAAGGTTCGCTCTGTTTCTGACAGCATTAGTCTTCCGTTCATGCCTCTTCTAGCATTACAGAAGTCATGCTAGTTTTTAAGGATGTAGGCGGGTCTGATTTTGCACGCTGTCGGTGAAAGGAACAGGAAAGTACTCTAAACATGACAGGTCCCATGAATAGGTCTTTCAAGCTCGACCTCAGCTTATCCTTGAAGCTAGTCATTTATTTATTGCCCTCATTTATTCTCATGAAGATTAGGAAGCATGAAATGATTACTAAGATGTAGCCTCCATCACAATAACATCCAAGAGGCTACAAGCTGAAAATAAATTTCCTTTGGACTGTGATACCACGCTATCATGCACTTGTCTCTAGTGGGGAAAAACAACTAGGCAACAATAACTATTTCCACAAGACTATTACAGCTAATGAGTTAAAAAACTGACCTACTTGACTGTCACAGTTAAAAATATAATGCCTAGACCTAATTTCATTGAAGCGCATGTGATTTCATAAGACTACATGCCCTTTACGAGTGTGCTTCACTTGAATAGATATTCCATGGGTCTATCCGTGCCTTGGATGTGCCTGCAAAGCCTTTGTGGTTTATCTAGTAAAACCTGGGAAACTATCATCAACAAAAAGAACTTCATTCTTCTGTTTAAGCAGGATGTTTGGAAATCCAAAATGTTTCCATTGTTTGTGCTTCTCAGAAAAAAAGCTTTTGCTTAGCTTGTATGTTGCTTGCCGGGAGGAGCATGCCGAGGACCAAATCCATAAAATAGGTTTCTGGGACAGTAGTACACAGAATGGTTGCCAGCTTTTTTTTCCAGAAAACATAAGCTGTTCCACAGAGCATTAAAATTAATCCAGCTTAACATTACTTCCGCCCCAAATCGAATAAAGATGTTAAAGGGACAGAGAACCTTTTGATATATTTATTATACTGACGTTATTTTATTCTATATTGTCTTAGGACATGATCTAAGGTCTCTGGAGCCATGGAAAATACACCAATTTACTTTGGATAGCTTTTGATCCAGATACAAGGTTCTTCCACCTGTCTATAATCAACTGTAAAACTAAACTATGCTTCAAACAAAAACTCCCAGCAACTGCAGTATACTTACTTAAAATACAAGTATGCTTTAGAGTATAAATGACTATTCAACAGGAGGCATTACAACCAGCTTTAGAATACAGTGCATGTTGGCATGAACTTACCTCTTTAAAGAGATAATACTTGCATTTGAACATTTAAAAAATCACTGCAAGCCTTTCTTTTAATCATTTGGTGTATCAGAAACAACACCTGAGCTTGTCAGTGTGGAAGACCTGCTGGGACAGTCAGTAAAAAAAAAAAAATCTAAATTGATTCATGCTCTGTCACAGACCTGCTATGCACCCTTGGTCAGTCACTTTATTCGTACATCAATCTCCCTGTGTGCTAGACCAGGTATACAAATACACCGTGTTCCAAAATAAGCAAGGGACTTAGGATCCTGAATCACACTCTTCAGCAGAGAACTTCTCAAGGGTCTCAGTTCCCATAGTACCCAGCTGACCTTCAGATAAGGCTGACCCTCTCATCAGACATGGAGACAGAGCCATGCAGTTCTGCTCTGGTGATACCCTAGGGAGCTTCAAGCGAAGTTGACCATGTCTGCCCTACGCAGTCCAGCATCACGTCAAGGAAACACAGCCAGCACCAGGCAGAGGTAACTATCGTGAGCACTGAAAGCCAGGCACAACACTGGATCCGTGCTGAATCACGTGGTCTCTGTGTGATCCATCCCTGGAGGCAGCTTCAGTCAGAACATGTCTCCCCACCGCTCTGTTGCATAGAGCACACAGAGCCTCTGAGTGGTGGGAGAAAGAGGGGTTTGGTAACGATGGCTCCGGGGCATTCTGAAATCCTCCTTTGTGTAAGTTGGTTGTACTAGATGAGACCCTTTTCAAAGCTCTTCAGTACAATGGCTCAGTTGAATGGAAGGTGCCACTTAACCCTCACTGCCAAACAGTCCCTTATGTCCAGATCACCCTAGGTGTGACCTACAGCATTACCTTTAATCAGCTTTCAGGATTGGCAATAAACACCTGCGTTTTGGACAGACGATCACCAGTGCTTTGCCTAATTATTCTGCAACCCTGCAGCCAAGATTCCTCCTAAAGAAGAGACTCAACCACCTTTTCTCCCTGCCCTCCTCCAGCAATGAGAGAGAAATTCTGCACCCCAGCATGCTGCACTCCTGTCTGTTGATGCTGTGTGTGGGATGTGCAATGACAGGCTTAAATCACAGCAGGGGGGATTTAGACCAGATCCCAGGAAAAAAACTAACAGTGAGGATTACAAACACCAACACAGATTGCTAAGGTGCAACCACTGTCACTAGTGATTTTTAAGAAGGAATAAAATAACTACGTTTAGCAGGAGAGGGACTAGATGGCTTGCTGAGACCCCTTCCGCTGATGCAAAGCAGGAAAAACAACCAGTAATGACAAAAGCATGCAAGTGGCGCTTACCGATTGGTGTGAGAATTGCAATGCATGAACCAGCTGCGGTTGTTGTCAACGTACATGGCCCATGCCTTGTCGTCCTTGCCCAGCATCATGTCCTTGACGACGTTAATCCTAGCAATACCAAAAGCTGGATCTGGATGGTTGTCATACCGGTCCACATGCAGCTCCCAGTAATGCACACCCTTGGAGAAGGCTGCTGTGCCAAGAACAACCCGGTCATCGTAGCTGTTGCAGGTGGCAGTCTGGTTGTCATTCGACAGCACTATGTCTCTGTGAGCTGAGGAGGGGTCAAAGGTGAACCACGCCACTGTGGAAAGGGGAAAGGAAAGGCAGGATTATGGCAGAATGGTCTGTGTTCAAGTGTTGTCTGCTTTACTTCAATTAGGAGAATGAGATTCTGCCTTCCTAAAGACCTCACTGCACTTTCAGGTAATGAAGAGAATCTTTCCTCGTTACTGTAGGCAGCTACACAAGATTGCTTTTAGCCGGTACCCTGCTGGTTTTTAGCTCAGAAGTGCCTTATGTTACCTGTGCTTATTCCTCTGAACGTAAGCTGCTAAGGGCAGTCAGTGACTTTCTGTTCTCACACAGTAAAAAGAAAGTTATTGAGGAGACAAAGGCTTCTCCATGGTATGGAAACTGCTCACATCGGTGAATTGGTTCAGGATTGCCTTTAAAGGAAATGGAGTTCCACTGTGTCCATACTGGTTAGGACTGACTTCACTAGTTTATCAACACGGGGGAAAAAAAGAAAAAAAAGAAAAAAAAAAACCAACAGAAAAAGCTCTTAAAGTATCAATATTTTATACTGGCCTATTTTGGCAACACAGCATAAAAGTGGAAGTGATAATAGCATGCACTTCTCGATTCATTACAATATCATTAATGAAGCTGAACTTCTTGTAATGCCCATATGGATGTCAAGTATAATTACAGAGGAATAAGCATGAATTCCCATCTCTGTATTATCAAATCTTTCTGTGAAATTGAAGCCATAGTGAACAAAAAGGCAAACTCCAAAGATATATGGATAAGTGGAGACAGAGTGGCACAAAAATATCCTGTGCGTTGCACAGCTGCTTCTGTATGCTAAAGCAAATATGAATCTTAGTTACACCCCAGACTTCTACAGCCAAAGACTGTTGCATGATTTGAAACCTGAAGTGTTACTGACCGTGGAAAATCCCCAAAAGTGTTAGGAGGATAGCTCAGTCCCCATGCACACTCATTTCGTGGCCTCTCCTCTCAGATGATCCAAAACCCCCATGCCAGTAAATGCCAAATATGTTAAGTGGGTATAAACGGAATCTAGTGTCCTGCCACTGAGACCTGCAGCTTTTCACTTAGACACCGGTAAAAACCCAACTCACCATCCGATGTCTGTAAAATAACCGTCTTGCTGTAAGGACCAACTCCCGACGAGTTGAAAGCTTTGACTCTTGCATTATAGGTGCTGTTGAAATGAAGGCCATCGATGGTGCAGAGAGTCTCCTTGCCAACATATACTTCCTAAGCATTTCAAAAAAAAGGAAAGAGGGATATAGTTTAACTGTTTCTCTGTGCCTTGTGATCACACATTAAGAGTTCTAAATATAAGCCGCAAGTGAACTCATTGCTTTCCAGGATGTAGAATTTATCCTGCTATAACATGGACAGTCACAGCAGTGGAGACATCAAGGATGGTTAGCAGTGGAGACACTAAGGTGAAGATGAAGGCAACACTGAAAGATCTTAATTTTTATCCTCTTTTCCTGAACATCTACTCCAAAACACTATTTTTGATAGTAGTCCCAGTGTCTGACCCACCATGGCCATTCTTATATTTATGTAGGACCAAAATGGGGGCATGGAAAAATAAAAAAATACAAGCACAGTTTTATTCTGTCTCATGCCTGTGTTAAAATATAATTTTGAAACCTGCAAACACAGAGCCAGCAGAAACTGATCTCCTGAAGATTAGGATCACGTGCGTCACATGATGAAACAGCAACTAGACAACAGAGACACCATAAAAGTCTGTAAAGATTTATTAAACAGCGAGCACTTGTGTAATGTGAAATATTTCAGGAGGAGGAACACCTAGGCAGACTAATGAAGAAGGTCAGATTATACAGTCTATGATGAATGGAAAGAAGCCTAGAAGCCTCATGTTTGTTGGAAAACTGAACAGAAAATGACAGAAAAGGAAAAAATCCTGTCTTGGCAGCAGGCTGAAAGCCACAATTCCTTTCCACCTCCAATTTCTCCAATTCTGTGAAATCCATAGATTTATGTTAGCAAAGGCCCTAAAGAGCTTAAGGCTGTGACTAAGCAGACCACTCAGGCCCCAGTTCAGTTAAGACATTTAAGTATATACCTAAGAGTAGTCCTGCTGATTAAGGCTCTTTGATATGAACCTAAAGTGAATGAAGTATGTGATGAATAAGAAAGGGACTACTTAAGTTTACAGTGGGCCATGCATTTGTCTGCTGTGCTACCGTGGTGGCTGCTACAAATAACAAAATCTCTTGGGTCCTGAGTTAGTTGATGATCTTTCATGGAGAGATAGAAGAGTTTTAATAGAATAGCTTAATTTATCTCCATGTTGTAACATATGCTGTCTGTGCAAAAAGTTGTAGGACAACTCTCACATTTTCTAATCCATTTCATATTTTTACCACTGTTCACTGCTTGTGTTTATTCAGATTGGTGCTCTCTGCCACAATGGGAGACAAAAACCATTCTTATATGCACCCATTGAATACTGATAAAGTGCAGTCAATGTCATTGCTTTCAGATACATAATCCTTCATGAAAAGGGTCAGCAAACGCTTATTGAAAAGGCATTGCTTAGAAGCTTGCAGCTTATTTTTCAGTGGGTAAAACTGAGGGTGTTTCTGCTGCAGCAAGCAAAGCATTCCCCTGAGAAGTTGTCACCTTAGATTTTTAAGAATTGAGATGGTTTTTTAAATTTTTTAATCCAAAATTTTGACATGGCAGTGTTGGCAGTCCTAAATCCTCTGCCAGTTACGAAATCCCACACAAATGAGCTTGGATATGCATCAGCCTGAAATCTTGTTTATTCACAAGTATTTATTTAGATCTGAATACTACCTGAAAAGGTTTAGCCAAGACACTGGAATTCATAACACCTTGTTCTTAACTCTTCATTCATCACGTACTGATAACACTCCTACCTACTAATATGAACTACATTGGGCAGCTCTCAGCAGCCATTCACAAAGGTACCTTTTCACACTTTCAGTAGCGGAGAGCAGCCTCTTTCAAACCTATGTGAAATGATACTTGGACCAAAGAACTGAAGAGACCTTCCAGAAACAAAGTGAGCTCTTCAAAATGCCCTGTCAATATCGCTGTTTCTTCTAATGAGGGGTGTCCAAATCAGGTGCCTTTGCTGGCTATGGGTGTAACAGCTTGGCACAGGAAGACAGTTGACAGTTCCTTAGCTGGATTCATGCCAGGCTGTTTTCAGCTTTAGAAACCTTTAGGTTTCCAGTGAGAAGCCAGTTTGCAGCTCCCAAAGAAATGCCATCACATGTTTTTGGCAAAATTTCCCATTTGGGAAGACAGCAGCTGTAATCCACAATGATCTCCAGATGCTTTTGAGGCACTGGGCTAGCGTGGTCCTGGAGCAACAGAAGCATGAAGCCTGCCTGAGGAGGAAGGGCCACAGCTTCCAGCAGGACACGGCTGGCAGAAAGCTGACTGAATTATTTCTGTAGTTTCTTTATCAGGATGTGGTGAGAAGGGTCGGGAACCTATAAGTACCCTGCACCTGCAGCCTGGAGCAAGGATTTTTGACATCACCCTGAAGGTCTGGAAGGACAGCGCTTGGGATGCCTTCCCATACTTACTGACCCCATTGCAGCATGTCTGCAGAAAGCTTCCACCAGCCTGGTCTCATCCACTTCCAGAGAAAAGACTTAGAAAACCCGTAGTTTTATGCAGGATCACATTTTTACCCATAAAATCAGGAAAAAAGTGAATTGCACTTCTGGACCAAGAATCTCAGCTGTTGAAACGGGGTGCTATGAACAGATGAGAGCAAGGGCTTCAAAGAAATCTTTGGTTTGTGGAATGAACCCCTTTCAGCTCCTGCAGGCTGGTACAGGGATTTTCTGCTCTGGTACACTTCAGCGGGACCTCAAGGCCCTCTTTGCCAGAGCCCTGAGAATAACCTCAGCAAAACTTCCTACTCAAGCTCGGGGTCCTTCTAATAGGCAGCACCTGCACTGCTTTCACTACAATAGCTTTACGTCACTACATCCACGTGTTGGAAGCAGGGATGTTTTGACAACCCATATCTTCCCTACCCCCTCTTCCCACCCTTGGACAAACACAAATCCATATCCTGAGGAAACTCACATACAAAGAAACACAAATAAATGCTGAATGAAATTCTTACTCGGAATTGGCCACCATCTCCATCATCAAGTTCCAAGATATAACCCTCCACTGGGTTGTGGCTCAAAGGTGGCATCCTCCAGGCCAATGTCACACTGTTGTTTCTGGTGCAACACTTCTCCAGCTGCAGTAATGGGACGGGTGGCACTGTAACAGGAACTGGGTACAGGTTAGTGTAACTCTGCCCTACCCCATTAGTCTGTGCAGCAAGCAGTATGGTGACCGCTCACCTCCCTCCCCTCACAAGGGAGTCAATATTCTTTGGGAAGAGAGTCTGTTCCTTTCCTTGAAACAAAAGGCAGTAAAAATGATATAACAAAATGTCATTACTCAATTAGACAAATCATTTGGCTGAAATACATAAACAGAAGCATATTTGGACATGCTTCTGGTGCCTCATAAGAACCTCATGAGGTCTGGGGACCTCACATCTCATTTCCTTCCCAGAGGTCACTGGATGGAAGACTTTTTTTCTCACGCTACAGCACTTTACCCCTGCTGTCCCCAAAAGAAGAGAGGGAGCAGCAGTGGCAGGGAGTGTCTCAGGTCACGGGGCAGCATGGGAGATGCAGTGCTGCAAGGAAGCCCGGATCATTAACGAAGAACTGGGTTATTAACCAGCAGAGCAGCCACTCCTCCCAGCATGGTGGCGAGATAAAGCCAGAACTCCACCGACAGCAGGAAAACAATTCTTCACAATAGTTTTTTTTTCTTAAATCTAATCTAATACCCCCTCCCCCTCCAGTTTTTCATCAAAACCATATGTTATCTTTATGGCAGTCATACTTAAAAGAAACTGTTGAAGAAAATTGTTCCATTTGCAAATTTTATCTAAATCCCTTGGTTCAGGTAGCAAAAGGAACGTCTGCATCACAGGAGGCTGCTTGTGGCTCTCTCCTCTCGGAAATTACAGGTGTGAAGTTATCTACCAACACGCCTTTTTAGCGACTCGCTCAGCAGAAACACCAAGAGACTGTTGATCAGACCAGCACCGTGAGACTGTTGACCAGACCAGCATCTTAAAAATAAACAGACTAAAACATTCAACCAAGCCTCTGTGGGAAAGAGGCCTTCACCATACTGTCTCTGCTAAACACACGTAAACTCTCACTGTTCACTCTTTGCTGGAAATTATAAAGTGAAAATTCAGCCTTCTGGAGAGATCTAGCATGTGTCTTATGCACTGTTGAAACTGCACAGGTTAAGTGGGATGTAAGTGATGGATAGACCCAGCTTGGCCTTTTGCCCAAGGCTGAATTTCACTGTTCAGGATCATTTCTGCAGAGATTGACCATGTCTTACAAGGAGCTGAGTGCTCTGAGCATTCATCGACTTAGCTCTTAACAATGTCAGTTTGCTCTTCTTTTATCTACTCTGCTTTGAGACTCTAGCTTATTTTCCTCCCTCTGTCTGCATGAGAGCTAAGCCCTTGAGCTGTTCCTTTCATCCTATTTTACCTCTCCAGATAAAAGAGGACTGTCCGCATTTTGTGTACCAAGCAGTCTGTGGGAAAATGGAAGCTACTCTGTGGCTTCACCCTCACTTTGGAAGTGACACGAAAGTCAACATCACATTTGTGATAAACAGTGCAGAAGCTACCATTTCTTTCTGCTGGCATTATCCATCACCACAGTGAACAGGGATGGTTGGTAGCCCAGAAGAATGACTGTGGTCTGAAACAAAAGAGCTTTATAAATTAGTTCTTGAAGGTTTTTCTGCGAAAACAGAAAACAAAAGCCTTGTTCCTATTCCTTGATGTTTAAGGATGATTCACAGGGTGTCATAAATAAAAACCTGCTTGTTTTTTCACAGGGAAAGTTCAGACTTTTCTCCAGGAGACACTATGTTTGGAGAAGTAACAGAAATGTGATGTTACAAGAGTCAAAAACCTGAAAACAAGGAATTCAGAGGTAATGGGAGAGAACAATTTTAAGTTTAGGGGTTTGTCTGTGTGTGTTAGCCTGTGTATTTCCACTAATTGATTAGCCTGGGAGAAGACAGGGCTGTATCAGCCATCCACACTCCTGCCACTTTAGCTAACTGGTTAACTTGCTCAGGAGGCATTCACTGGGTCCTCCCCACTTCTGAGACTCCCTCTGGCAAAACTGGGTGAAAATCTAATTCCCAAAGTTTATAAAGTGCAAAATAGACAACATCCCCTTACCTCTGAATAAACCACTAACTTCTCTAACCCTCTGCAAAAATCTCCTAGGAATGCTGACAGGAGGCTTTCAGGGACTGTTGTCTGGGACATAATGCACAATGCTGAAAAAAAAAAAAAGAGCAGAATATTTTGGGGAGGGTGTTTTACAAGTTCCTTTTAGTTATGGAAGAAGGAATGCCATCTAGGATTGGAATATGTTTTCATGCGGTAAAGTGCTGTAGTCCCCAGTTCCCAGGGGCAATGTGAATTTTGGCCCTACATGTGAGAGTCACACATACTATGGGGAAGTGCCTGGGCTTCTTTACTGTGTCACTGGACATTTAAGTTTTTGTGAGCAATGCTTATCAGCCTCCTGCTCCCTTCAGGCCAGCCCGTGGCCTCAACTGCACAACCTACAGTAGCTGAAGGAGAGGGAAGAAGCTCCCACCAAGCAGCTGTTCATCTGTGCTGGATGACGCTCACTGCGCCTGCCCTACTGCCCCCTCCCCTGGATGTGGATGGGCAGAGCTTTGCCTTGATCTCAGATTCCCTCTGGGAGGAGAAAAGGTGAACACTTGTAAAAGTCATGGGAAAGCATTAAGTGAGTTGAATAATCGGGACACTGGGATATACTTCATAGTGAAGAGCAATGGGACAGGACTAAGAAAAGAAAAATATAGGCTAAGTGTCAGAAATAAAAGGCTCAGATATTAAATTACAGTGTTGTCCCACTTCTTGTTCAACTTAAAAGTCCCCTAGAGAGTTTTTGAAGGAAAAGATTAAAAATATAAAGGGAGAAATGATACTGCATTGGCACAGCAAGACCCATTAATTAGTCTAAATGATGTCCTGCTATTTTAAAAGTGCTTCATGCAGGTCACACTAAGCTAAAAAATGTGATACTGATGTCTCATGTCAACTCAGCAGTTTCAAAACCACATTGCTCAATGTATCTCACAGGTGATCTCCTCCCAGGGTAGAGTAGGGCTGCTCTAAGATATTGTCTGTTATTTGTCCTCTTGACAAGCAAGTTGTGCAATGATGCCCTCCACGTTCCCAGATTTAAAGGGCTAAATGCAGTGAAAGAACAGGATCCTCAGAAACATGAAAACTTTGACCTCCTCCAAAACTGCATTACAGCCTTGTAATAGCCTGAGTCACTGCTGTAGCAACTGCCCTACCAACAGTGTTATCAAGAGAGAAGGAAAGACCACAAGCAAAGACCTGGGTCCATGATGCAGAGCAGGCAGAACCAGGGATAAACCCTATGATGAAACCATTACTCTTTCATTAGCAGGGCTGTACAGCTCACGGCTGGAGAACCAGAGAAGATTTGCAGCAGGAGATGCGTCTGGGGAATCTTCACGGACTGGTTTGCAGAAAAGGGAAGGAGTCAGTCCTGACAAGGAGAAGGGGCATATGAGTGAGCAGTCAGAGGTGGTACAGAAAAGTAGAGAGTAGCTATACTTTTTCCTATTTTGTACCTAGTCTCTGTTTTACAACCAACCAAGATTGCATGACAGTTCCAGCTGTTTGAATAAAACAAACCTGGAACATGTATTTGCCTGTGCCCACAGGCTGAACTCAGGAAACATGATGCACACATTGAGCCAGTCATCAAAAAGGACAGGAATTTTCTGCCAAGGCACTCAGAAAAAGCAGTAGAGGGAAGAAAACATGGACAGAGGAAAGGGATCTGGGAAAGATCAAAATGCCAGCAATTACTGGAGCTGTGCATGAGTCTCAGCAGGTCAGCTAGCCTGGGGAGCATGGGACTCTTGCCAAAGGGCTATCAGCGAGACCCTTTGGTCAACATGACTGCTTAAGCATTACTGCTTAAGCATTACTTCTGCACCTATCACATTTCTGCACATTTAATTTGTTTACCAAATTGCTGCTTCTTTCTGTAAAAAGAACAAACACCCCCTGATCTTTATTTACTGATATGAGCTTTAGATATGGGCTTATAGAGTCCACCAGCAAGGTACATGAACAAGTCATCAAAGCAAATGTAATGTGATTTGTTCTCATTTTCATTCTTCTTTGTCTAACACAGTGAATCAATGTTTACTTACAAGCATGCTTTCACTCTAAATGACCCGTGCAAGCTCACTGAGGTTGAATGAGGCCAGAGTTTGAAAAAATATATAGAAATTCAGTCATGCACTAAGCATTGATTACAATAGTACAGACCTTACATTGCAAAGATTTTGGAACAAAACAACTTGCAGTTGGAAAAGCCACGCTGGCCCTATTCTCCTAGGTTTCCCCAAAACTCCCTTTACAGATCATCTCTAATGTCTTTAATGCATCTTTCCCTTGTCAGATCAATCAGTATAGTAACTCAGTAACACTCCCCTTAACACCAACATGTGGCAAAGACTGATGACTTGTTGGTGCTCTGGGGTAGGCAGGATTGGAAAAAGAGGAGCAGATGTGAAGAGACACATAGATTTCTCTTTGTGAAACTGGACACTCAGAAATATACAAGTCTTGATGATGACAGACAGCAAACATTGCCCTGCGACACCAGCTTCTCCTCACAGTCAGCAAAGGGATGTTCTCAGTAAGTCTGGGTGCCTGCTGCTGGAATGCTGAGTTGCTTACTCTGTGGTACCTGTATTTCTAGATGCAAGACCACCATGCATGAGAAGATAATGCAGAGCCAGCTGAGGTCACAGAGGTAAAATTTCAGAAAAAAAATGCCAAAGTGTCAGACTGAGCAGTTCAAATGCAAATAGATCCGCTATCATAAACTGAAAAATATAAATACACCTCTATATACTAAACAATCCTCAGTACCAATGAATGTCAGCTTGGGACCAGTCAGTAGCTTGTTCTGCTTGGGCACATAGAGGCACAAGGGGGAATAATGCCACCTCTTACACACCTTCAGGAATGGTGGCCCAGTTGACATCATTTCCACCGTTCTTTGCATGATGTGCACACGGTTATGCCTGTTGTGCTGACCAACCTGATGGGACATGCAACAGGTAGTCCCTGGTCAAGGCCAAGGCAGCTCAAGGAAAAGCCCTTCCTGAGGACTAACTGTTAAGGTACCTCTGGGGAACAAAGCCCAGGGGTGTTCGTAAGCTCCGGGCAGGTTCGGGCAGAAG